AATAATAATAATAATAATAATAATAATAATAATAATAATAATAATAATAATAATAATAATAATACAACTACTAATACTACTAATACTAACAATACTAACAATACTAATAATACTGATACTAATACTAATAATAGTAATAATAATAATAATAGAAAAATAACATAACAAGATGCTTGAAATCCAGCTATTCACAAAATTTATGTCACGATCTTCTACATTCTCTCATTTGCTCAGATTGACGGAATCGACGTGCAGTCCAGCAGCCAGGCCGAGATTGTCGGTCTCCTGCGCACCAAACTGGTCGGTGCTCCTGTCCTGCTCACCGTCAGGCGGTTGCCACCCGGCCGTCCGGCTAACCCCGGCCTTGAGGCGGCCAACGACGGTCTGAGCGAAGCCTCCAGCCCGTCCTCCGCTCTTCTCCCCAACAACACCTCTTCTTCGGGCCACTTTTGTTCCGGCGTAGTCTCGGCCAGTGGAGACAGGATGCCTCGTCATGAGTACTCGCTTCCTTCCAATTCCGTCATGATACAGCCCCAGAGACAGCCTGCCTTGCCGTCGGCGTCACACGGCCAGCCTCGGGGCGCCGCGCTCTACATGGTACCTGCAAAGCGTTGCCAAGCTCCAGTCGTCGGCAACACCAGTCCGGATCCTTCAAGAAGCAACGTGAGGACCAACCCGGCCGACAGCCAATCCGCTTGGCCGCATTCGACGATGGGCAGACAGACTCCGAAGAAGACGACCCCCTTTTCAGCCCACCGGAGCCCGCCCCACCGGCTCCAGCCGTCATCGGGCCTCGTAACTGACCATTTAGGGCGGTACTGGTGTCCTGTAGATTCACCCAACGAGCAGACTCATTGGCTCTCGGGGCATGGACCCAGCGGAAATCAACCTCATTCGGCGTCCATCTCGCCTCCTCGGGGGCCTGTCATTTCGACGATAGACGCCCTTTCAAATACACCCAACACCAACAACGCTTTGATGGCATCCTCGTCTCGGTTGGTAGGCAGCCTGGACGATTCAAGGCTAAATCAGGTGCTTGTAAGTGATATGTGATTAGCCTTCATGTCCAAATCTGTCGATCTTTTTGCTTTTTTTCATTCATATCCCTTAAAATCACAATAATTATTCCAACTATATGGGAAATATTATGACTCGACATTTTAGTTGGAGCAAAGTTGATTTGACGCAATTCGTGAATTGGCCTCACCGGTACCCGAAAGCTTAGGGACTGTTGGATTGTGAAAAGTGGTCCTCGACTCACTGTCATGTGACGGACATGTCTGAAGGTAAAAAACATAGTTCACCTAAAATTGCATTCAAAATACTAAACTAAAATTACTCTTTGCATAACTAAGGCAATTCTCCTTCAGTTTGTGGTGAGGCCAGCCTACGAATTCCTTCCTACCAGCTTTTTCTCCTAAAGCATAGTCGATTCATGTTAACTTCTTCTAAATGCTTACTCACGGTTTTTACGCTGTTTTTAAAGATTTTTTGTTTATTCTATCCTCTGTGTGTGTGTGCGCGCTTATTCCAGAGTTCAATTTGGGATTTTATTGCCAGATAGTTTTATATTACCCTCATATTGATTGATTTATTTCCTACTAAATTGCAACAAGTGACAGTCAAAATTAACTATAATTTGTTGTATAGACCCAGTGGTAGCCGTAGACCCTTTTGATGTTCTTGGGCTTTATCCTCTTATTTCATTTCATTATACGTAAGAATCTAAATTTTCATTAAAGCTTGTCGCTAAAGATGAGACAAAAACTACTGAGGGAGTTATTCCCAGATTACTGTGATTAGATCTTACGATGTCATTAAATTTCACTTTGCCTTTATCCCAACATTTTTTCAGCCTGGCTGTACAGAGGTTTCGACCTTGTCCTAGGCTTCATGAATACATCCTAGACAATCGGAAACTGTAATGAGCATCGCGCGTCATGGTGACATGATACAACTCCTACACCCAACTTCTGGCTCCAGTAGATCACAGGGCAGATTTGGCTTTCAGGGCAGATTTGGCTTTCAGGGCATGCCCACCTCTTCTCAAATCACATTTATTAGAGGGATTGTCAGGGCGGCAAACTTGTATTTGCGACTGCAATCATGGCCGTACTAATTTTTGATTAAGTAGTATTCGAAGTTGTCAGTAATTCTTCAATATAAGCCCTAACTTAAGTCGTTTACGTTGACTTAACCACTGCTGATGAAGTTTTTCCACTAATACTATGACTAAGTTTCTTGATAGCATTACATTTCATCCAGTCTTGCTTCCTGTTGGACTTCTGTTTGGTCGTAGGCTCCCTTAGCTTTGTTGTATTGGTTCGACCTCGTTTTCGCAACTTTTTCGTAGAGTCAGGGAGGTCCTGCGGAACATACCTAGTCCTATGTCCTCTGCCATAGTATTTATGATTTGCCAGCATCGGACCATTGACTTGGTACATTCCCAAACGTTTCGCCGACATCCTCGGTGAGAGTCGCCATCGTTAGCACAGAGCATTTTGTATGATTCTAGACTGCAAAAACATGGCTTTATAAGTGAATGTGTACCATACAAATTGTATGTGGTGTGAAATGTTTTAGAAATCTATGATGCTATTTTGTCAATTTCGTCACAAGCATAAAAAATCTATGATATCTCTTTTGTTTTCTGTCCTTTTTTATTTAATTTTTTTCCCAATTTAATTTAGCTCCTTTCCGATTTTGTCCTGCTGCGGTTCGAAATCCCACTGATTCCAGTAGCTAAGCCATCCTTTTCAAGAACTTGCCAGTCCGGCTCTCCTTCCGGCGAAGCCAGCTCCTCGTCGGGCAGATCGGCCTCCAAGACAATGCGATTGGGCGTCAGTGTCCGTGAGGCATT